GTCTCTATTCCTAGTAGTATAAGAGCTGTGTTCACTAATACATTGTCTTTTGACTGTTTCTTGAAGTTCCTGTAATTTCAACTCTTCTGTCTCCTGTACACCTGTCATTGTTACTTCATTGTCTTCTATGAATTCATTATCTACTTGTTCGATAATCTCCATTGCTAATCCTCAAATAACACACAAAAAAGATGTCCCTATAAAAAAGTTTTTTGAATTTTTGATTAAAAATTTTTTAAATAACTAAAAGAATATTTTCAAGAGTCACTTTTACCTTTTTTTTTTTTTGTTTATAAACTTCTTTAAACAAAAACTTTGTTTGGTGAATTTGGAAGGTTACAAATTAAAATTTACCAAATGCGGCACAGATGACCAACCTGCTTTCGTAAATAAACAAGTGAGCCCACACTCGTATTCCATGTCATGTGGAGATTGATTAATTTCGTGATTCCTAGGAGTGGCTGAATTTTATTAAAAATGCGTCGTTAGTTGCACGGGTAATTCGTTGAAATTTTATTTTTAGAAACGTAATATTTTGATCCTGGTTTTCTCAGAAGTTTATATACCAGATTGTAAAATGGAAGAATTTTTAAGATTATGTGCCACAAACAAAAATGCCGTAGCCTCAATAACAATAATGCAGGGACCGACGATCGTAAATGAAAAAATGACACAGATGCGGAGTTTTATTTATTTTTTTTTTTGATAAGCGCGCGCTGCAGGAAAAGTTAGCAATGGTAAGTGACGGACTGATTACTCTCGCTAATCCGAATTAATTAAAAAGTTAAATGCACCGTATATTTTTTTTTCTTTCGCAAAATGGAAATAAAAGAAATAATCGGCGATTACTTCCTTTGTTCTCATGTTTGACGTCGATAATAATGCGTTAACTATTTATTGCTGGCCGAACCTCAATATTTTCAAATGTCATGTAATTTCTTCAGGACAAACAAGATCTAATTCTGCTATATCGGGTGGATGCTTTATTTGTTTTGGTAATACACTGGTTTGCTTAGATTATTAATGTACATACATACAGTAGGCTTTCTGATAATAAATATTGTCCTTGGTCTAGACCTCGCCCAACAAAGAAATGGCACAATGAGTCATTTCTGCCGCCAAAAAAATATAACAGGAGAGGCACAGTAATAAACCTCTATATCGAGGTCTAGCCTTTGTATCTGTCGAAGTCTGGTCTTCGTTATTGATAAGAATGACTATCCTAAAATGCAGATTCACTAATCTCCTAAGGACTTGATGTGTAGATGCGCAATGAAGATGCTGTGAAATTTAATTCCAAACTCGGTGTCGTATTATCAAACGGTGCAATGCATGAGGGCCTAGAACCATCTGGCCTACCTGGTCACTATTCATTTTGGTCTGTTTACATTTATATGTACATTGTTTTTTCAAAAAAAAAAAAAAAAGTGGACATAATGAAAAAATTTAAGTATTCGACCAAGTTGCAACACCTAATTTTAAACGGTCAATTTACGTGTAAAAAGGAAATCGCCTACTTACCAAAATCTTACTTTCCCCACGAACTAATTTTTATTCCTTAAATAATATCCTTGATTTAATCTTCATTCTTTTATTTGATCCATTTTACAATCTTTTCGCTGCCAATATTTAAATTTGGTGTCAATTTTCATGTCTGAAAAGGTATTAATGAACAAATTTTGCGCGCGAACAATCAAGCGAGTTGTTTTAAACATTATTATTGAAAATTTAGTTAGACAACTCATCATGTCAGCGATAAATACAATCAAGGATAACATCGAAGACGACGAACAAGCGAAGGAGATTGCAGAGCAAGACAATAATCGGGCACATATAGTGGCTCTTGCGGTAATTTTTTTATTTTCTCTTCTCTTTAACTTGAAGATATCTAATTCAACTTAATTATTGAATAGGTAAGAGAAGCCTGTGCGGTTGCCAATCTAGGTCAAAACAAACAAGATTGGGAAGCTGCATGCCGCACGATATCCGAGAATAATTTGCTCACAGAAAAAGAAAAGACCACAATAATTTCTTTATTGTTGCATAAATCTTCGTGTATGTGTTAAAGAAAGGCCATCTTTTCACCCGCAAAGTGCCCATTCTTACCTTTATTTGCTGTTATATCTCTTTTTTTTTTTTTTAATAGAAATTTCACTATCTGGAAAGATAATACGTCTATTAATGTATATTTATTTATTTATATTATGCCTTCGATTGCAAATTTCTCTTTTTTTGAATCTCCATCAATGTTAGTAAAACCAATGTTTCATGATTGGACCATTGGAATTTCGTTTATGATTTGTTGCCTTATTTCATCCCATGCGTTGTTTATTTACGATTTTAAGGTTAAGCTTTATTACTTTAATTTTCTCCTTGGAGACTGCTTCTTACGAAAGAATCCTACCTAATTCTTATGAATTAACTTTATGATAATCATATCTACAAGATAATTAAATAAAACGTTGACACGCGATTGTGATTACATTACGATCTCGCTACGAACAATTAGTGGGGTCTATAATTTGCGATTTGTGAACTTTAAATTTTAAAATTTCATCGCATGCATTCTCTATAATAATTAAATATCTAATTAGATTAAGAAATCTTATTTATTTAATAAACGATATTTGATATCAAAAGAAAGGAAAATAATATAAAAACTTGTTGAAATCACAAAAGGGTTAGATTAAAAAAAGGAAAGGATGCATTTAAAAATATTCAATTATAAGGAAAAAAATAAAATAAAATAAAATTATTTAGCCTTTTTCAAAGATCCATTTCTTAAGATCTCTTTTCAATAAAAATGTCTTATTGTGATATTTTTTCTTTTTCTGACTATTTGAGAAAGTTATTCATTCTTGATCTTAATTTTCTTCTCATATATTATCTAAAATGACTTACTATATTTTTTATTAAAAATTTTTACTTTTAAAAAATATTTAATCACAAATTTTCTTTAAGTAATAATTTTAACATTCATCTATAATTAAAAATAAGTTTCTAAAAAAAAAAAAAACAAGAACAAAAATCGAATACTGTATATCTTATTATAAAACATTAAAATTTTTAAATTAATAATTATAAAAAAACTATATACAATAATTTTTTATTATTTAAAATCATTAATTTATAATATTTCTTAAATTTTATTTTGAATAAAATAAAAAACTATAAATTTAGTCTCTTAAAAAAGATATAGAGAGTCTATAAAATTTTATATATTAAATAATTTAAAATTCATTATTATTTATGATAAATTAATAATTTATAGTTAATTTTAAATTCTTATATAACACAATAAAAATTAAATAATATTATATACAGTAATATTATATTATTTAATAATTATATTTTAAAAAACTCTTTCCGCTGATCCTCCTTTTTTTCAAAAATTTCATTTTTTGGTAATTTTCTTGAAAAAAGTGAAACAGTTCAAATACACAAGAAAAACAACATCTCCTTTGAATCAAGCTACCAAGCACTTTCAACACATATACAACAAGTTACCCAGAAAC